AGTATGAAGATAGTAGGAGTAGCTTTGACATCAAAAGTATTGATTGTGATACTAGTTTCCAATCCTGACAGCTCTAATATCAATTATTAGTATAAATTATAGGACTATGATCAACACCGAAGAGGTCGTAAACCTATAGGACTATGATCGATAAGGCGGACAGGACCACTATGATCGGATAAGGTAGAGAGAAAAAAATCTCAGATCCTTCTATCGATATTATCTTTTAAGATTTTTTTTTAAGGTATTATGTACTTAATTTCTGTTGCCATTAATTTTGAATCCAATTGTATCAGTGGTGTATCAGACAGACATGGGCAGTGAAAAGGTGTGGTGGTTGGTTCGGGGATTAGATGAGGCTACATGTGCTGCTACCCTATCACGGGGCCGGACGATGAGCCCAAGGCCACATGCATGGAGGACCCACTTATGGCTTCCTGTACAATTAAACGAAGCCCGAGTTGAGCAGGTGAAGGCATTGCATTAATGGCAACGGCATTCATGGTGGGGAAGGAGGGCAAGTGTTGTGGCTCGGGACAGACTTGGGTAGGACGAAGACCAGCTAACCAGCCGCCAATCCCTGCGAAACCACCGCATCCTGCCATGGACCCCACCCCACCCCACCGAACCATGTCAATGTCTCCACGTGCCCGCATTTATGCTTGCGAAGCAGCTGCGGATTCTCGCGTGTGAGGTCAGGGTAGGATATACGTTGACTAGCTCTACGTACGTACGAGAGATGGGTTGCCGTCTTTCACGTCTCATGGTTCCTACTTGGGCACAAAGGACGTCTACTTCGGCCTCATACCTCGACAGCCGTTTGAATTTTATCTTCAAAACATTACTATAATTATGACTAATGATGCTGACAAATTGATGGGACCAAATGTTGACCTCCTATAGATGAATTCATGTGCTTCTTAGATCATTGGAAGAAGGAAGGCATTTGCGAAGGTGCGGACGTCGGCCCTTCCATCTGCAAGTCCCATCCTAATTGCCTCCAGATCATGGCAATTTGCCAGCAGTGCTATCTGACTTCTTTTCACTTAATAGTGGTCCTAATTGCATAAAGAAATTAGCATTACATAATATATTAGACAGGCCATGAAAGATAGATAGATAGCCCTTACGACTTTCTTGAAGATTTGGCATCAAGATCCGTTGATCGATCAGTGAAGTCCTCCAATTGATTATTATTACTTCTCCTTGTCAAATCATAGGGTAGCTCGCTATAAATGCGGGAAAGATCTTAGCTGGAGAACAAGAAAGGAAAATGCCAAAAGTGGACCCTATGACGCATTTCTGACTGAATGCAAGCTAATGATTACTTCATTAGTAACAATAACAAGACGTTTCAATCGTGTGGAATCACCGGTGAGGAACGATGAACGGGGTTACGGTAAGGAACGAAAAGTAAGTCAAAGCTACCAATGGCCACGAGTCCTGAGGAGAGTTATGGGTAGATTGTGGGCAGAAGTACCATAGGTTAAGCTGTCGTCGTATCTGAAACACCGAGTGGAAACACGAGAAGCAAGTACTGGAGGTTGAGCACAACCAGACCGAGCAGTACGATTACTGACATCGATCTACTTGAGTCTATTATATGTCAAATGTGAATTCTGCATTCCGGATTTCCTAAACATGGACCAAAAACGTGAAATGATACAGGTGGTGGAGCAAGCAGACTTAATTTTCACCACATAGTATTAGCATAGCGATAGGTGTTGTCTTGTCAGATCGCTTCTTCGTGTTGTCATATGAATAAATAAAATGAACGGACGACTGACTGTCTCGACGCCTCTCTTCCGACACTCAAGTCGGAGAAGATTTCTTTACGAGGTATAGATCCCAATCTTTTGGACTCCGTAAGAAAGAAAAGAAGCTGAGGATGAGGTTTCTTTCTTTTATTGTCGTGTTGTCCTGTAAAGGTCGGAGCATTAGGAGAAACATGATGTACTGTCGATGAGGATTTCATGAAGCTACGCGGGACATGAATCACGTTGTTTATTTTGGGATAGTTAATTACGGTCGCGAGATGTGATTGCAATAAACAGATCGATGGCTAGTCTCCTTTTATACTAATTGTGGAACCGGCGAGACTCGTCGACATTGCAATTTGCATGAGAGCTTGATCTTGTTAAAATAATAGTATACGTCGACAGGAGGAACAATATAGTAGTAGTCTGTGAGCACGTAACAGGGCATGCAGAAGAATTTACTCTCATCACAAAGGTATAACTCATTAAAGTTGTGTTGATTAAACACAAGGTTAATGATGGAGGAGACGACATATATCATAGAAATCCATCATCATCCATCCACATCCCGTCGCCCACTTCCGTTTTCTCCCTGCTGCCAGGCTCTCATCTTAACCAAAATTTAGGCCAAAAGGGACGGCATAGAGCTGCATTGTCAGAGCTCCATTTTCATCACCCTGTATCAGTGAATCTCCTGAAGATGATGAACACACAACTTGACACTCCCGGACAAAGCTTTTTGTACAATTATTTATTGCCATGTGACCTGCAACAACAACCTTACAAGGCAACGAGACAACGTCGGGGACCCTTGTCATTATCACTATTAATTATTCCCAAACAAAATTTTTTGCTTCTGGAATAATCCTAAAACTTGTATATGAATGAGAGAAGGCATTACATGGATTCGTAAGAGGGTCGGGCCATGGATACTTCGCTTTCATATAGAAATAATCTCACTTCTTGGGCAGTATCTGTTTGAGGACTACGGATAATTAAACTGGTTGGTAGAGAATGAACCCATCAAACATGTTCGAGATGAGTAGTGCGCCTGCGGGTCACGTCGGAAAGGTTTCTGGTGGTGGTGATAAGACAGGTGACATCACCCACCACTCGGTCCGGGAAGTAATAATACTGAGGCGGTCCTCTTGCCCCAAGAGCGGGGCCCATTAATCAACCACTCGGGCCCCACCCTCTTTTGTACGTGGGCCGCAATTTGGTCGGGGTGGTTGCTCGCACCGCGTGCAAATTCCAAGCAGCGAAAGCTCGAAGGGCCCCCCCGCGACCCTCCACCTCATCGTCGTCTGTTTTGAGATTCCAAATACATATGCATTAATGAAAATATTAAAGGATGCATATTTGCATGGCATGGAATGCTCCACCTTAGACGGTGTTCGCTTTCTTGTTCTTTCCTTCCTCCTTTATATTTATTATGGACGATGGCTATTGTTTGTTGCTCTGCTTGTGTCCTTATGTAAGCGCATCCTTCCAAGATCAACCCCAGGTTTAACCGATGTCCTTCCGCTGGGCCCTTTGAGCCGACGACTGAAGGCCCCTCTCTGTCTAATTTAATCTGTTCATCCATTTCAAGTTCGCTTCTTGATGTCTGAATTGCCTACTCCGACACACAGCATTTAGCTGTACTCCATACTACATAATATAGAAAAGACCCGTCGTGGGTCTCACCATGCTCCTCCTCTGTCTTCTCTGAAGGTCCTTAATAATTCCAAGAAGCCGAGACATGACCACAAAGTCCTGCGTTGCATGGAGTATCTAAATCCTTGAGTAGCTCGTCATGGTTTATATCACTTCAAGTTTCCCTACATACCACCTGGAAGAATAAGAATAATACCTCGGTAACCTTGTGGTATTTCCATGTGATGGTTTCCTAGGACAACACGACTGCTGACTCTTTGTGATGCTTCGGAGTATCTTAAATCTTGGCAAACTTGTTCCGTTTCATCCCTTCCAAGTTGCCACTTTCTTCTTCAGCTACTTGCCGTCTGGGAAAGCACCATCTTAGCATTCTTGGTGTATGCATGAGACGGTTTGACAAGAAAACTTGCGTGAGTGAACAAACTGAGAGGCGACGAGACCGGTTTGGACGTCAGCTTATGGAGAGCTTCTACTGTTTGCAAGTGAAACTGGATTCTGGAGTGATTTGGTTGTCAATTCTGTGTTGAGTCAGGACAGTCGAGTTGCTAGGCGCTGTAACAAATGCCATCAGGAGAAACAAATCTAAGTTTCGTCGAGTCTTGTAGCTGGAGATGCTGTGAGGAAAGGATAGGTCCCTTGGCTCTGCTTTCAACCCAGTTGACATTAGACCTCCTCCTACTAGTCCGTTAGGTGCAGCTATAGGTAGCGGGAATTCCATGCCCCCGATGGTGCCTTAGACTCACCCTAATATCAAACCAATAGACACGAGCCACAGTAGCTCCTCCTGGGTTACGTCAATCGCGCCACAACTGTTGTGATACTAGTCCAGCACATTTGCATGTCACGTACTTGTGAGTGGTTGCAATCAGCAAGTGTCTCAGAGTCACATGAAACATCGGATCCTATATTGATTGGCAGCAAACGAGAGAGAAAAAAGCTTCGCGCGCATCTACAGCTTCTTTCTTTTTGAACTTGGTTATTACAGAATCACCTTCTCATATGTTCCACAACGAACATGTTTCGAACGATAGAAGGAGCGGAGGAGGCTAGGTGCTATGTGCATGCCTAGGGTGTCGAAGAAGTAGCATGAGAGCAATCATTTAGGAGAGGACGTGGCAAAGCAATAACCATGGACAGTCCAGAACTCGTGTTCTAGTTTCTGGCATGGGAAAAGCTCTCTTGGTTCGGCCCACCGTTCCCTGCGGAGGGCATATGCTATTTTCCCAGAGTGAAATAAATGCGACAACCTGAGAGAGTGTGACCCGTCAAATGATGGGCTGGCATTCATTCAGCAACCGTAACAAGGTGGCTGGCTGGCTGGCTATCTTATTCTACTTCTCATTTTCCATGTCGCATGGTCGGGAAGCCGATGAGGGACTGTCCGGAGCCCAATTAAATAATCACCACACCGATTATCTTATTCTACTTCACCCTTACAGCCCAACGCCAACGCCCCGCCTGCCCTGCCTACCCTTACTGCAGCTAGCTCGATCTCAATATATATAACCCAGGAGTCGGCTCCTGTCACTTTCTCCGTCTCAAACATTTCTTTCTCTTACTAGTTATATTTTGATCCCACCAATTCAGGTATATACAGCTTGGTTGAGACAAGAAGAAGGGTGCGACAGTGGAGAAGACTGGCTTCTGTTTCGGTTTCCACTATGTATATATATAGGAGGTAGAGGAAGAAGAATAAGAACAAGAAGGATACAGGGACGATGGGGGATGCAGTGACATGGTTTTTGTCTCTGGTTTCCTCGGGGTTGTGCATGTTCATGGTGCTGAAGCTTTTGGATTATTTATGGTGGAGGCCAAAGAGACTGGAGCATCACTTCGCGAGTCAAGGCATAAGGGGACCCCCTTACCGCTTTTTTGTAGGTTGTGTCAAAGAGATGGTTGGCTTGATGTTGGAGGCCTCTTCCAAGCCAATGGTGCCTCAAACCTCTCATAATATTCTCCCAAGAGTTCTCTCCTTCTACCACCACTGGAAGAAGATCTATGGTACTCCCTCCCTCCCTCCCTCCTCCTCGCATATCTTTCTCCGTCTAGATTTTGTTGGTGTTGATCGGAGAGTTTGAGATCTCTTTTTCTTTGTTTTGTTTGTTTTGGCTTTCCCCCTTGCTCCACTCTAATTTTCCTGTTCTTATCTCCTTTGAATATTGTCCCGTGCTTTATATCTTAGATCGCTTGGTCTGCGCTCGATGGCAGCAACTGCCTTCTTAGTTTGCTTTATATTGTCCCGTGTTTTAACGCATGTTTCTAATCCTTTTTGGTGTTCTATGGTCAGAGTATTGTTCTTGAGGTAGTGTGTAAATTGCATGCATCATTCTGAACTGTTTTCTCAGTAAGATTTTCCTTTCTATGGTCAATTGTTCCGTCGTGTTTGCAATGCATACACGCTTCTGTTCTTATCGAGTCCAGATATGCTTTTTGTTTCCTTTTCGGAATTGAATTGTACCACTACTTTATGATTACTTATTTGTTTTTCCCTTTTACCCTTGAACGTGATTGATGAAATGCATCTCATTCTTCGAGATCTAACGAATCATCAAAAGAAAGGGAAAAAACAAAAAGCATCACTCGCTTTCTCTCTCTCTCTCTCTCTCTCTCTCTCTCTCCCTCTCTCTCTCTCTCTCTCTCTCTGTATTTGTATTGTATGTGCATACAGAAGAAATACGAGGCTTGTAGTCGTTTGTTGTTACACTCCATTTCCTTGTCCCACTTACATAACCTGCTCTGCTTCGTTACCTTATCTTATGATTGGCCTTTGCGTCTGCTCTTAAAATTCCTAAGACCAATGCAGCACCGAGTGCAAGTGTACATGTCTCATTTCTTGAAGGATTGGTTGTTCTACGTCACAAAATGTGGTGGCAAATATCTCTTTCGTAGGTTCTACGTTCCTGTTGTGGTTTGGGCCGACGGCTCGCATCACCATCGTCGACCCGGACCTGATCCGAGAGATATTCTCGACGCGGGCGGAGTTCTTCGATCGCTACGAATCCCACCCCCTGGTCCGGCAGCTCGAAGGCGAGGGATTGGTGAACCTTAGAGGAAAGAAATGGGCTCAGCACAGGAAGATCCTTTCTCCAGCATTTCACATGGAGAATATCAAAGTAGGTGCCTTTTCTTCACGTCTTGTTCCAAAAATTTTCGGTATAGGAACTTGTTTCGTTCGTTGGAATAGCAATTGCTGATTCGTTCTTCGTCTTTGGCCGTGATTGGAATCAGTTGCTGATACCATTGATCGGGAAGACGGTACAGGGAATGGTGGAGAAATTGCCAGCCTCCGGCGAGGTAGAAATAGACGTCTCCGAATGGTTCCAGGAGGTAACCGAGTATGCGATCACGAGGACGGCATTGGGTAGTAGTTACGATGATGGCAAGGCCGTCTTCCAATTGCAGACCAAGCAGATGGTCTTTGCAGCCGAAGCATTTCGCAAGGTTTTCATCCCTGGTTACAGGTAGGTCGTCTTTCCCGATCGTCCGACAATTTACTCCCGTTCGATCGATTGAATCCCGCTTTAATTAACACATCACCTAGATTCTTACCCACGAAGAAGAACACGATGTCGTGGAAACTAGACAAGGAGATCAGGAGGGGTCTCATCGCGCTGATCCGGCGACGAAAAGAGAGCTCGGCTGACGAGAAGCCTGGCGGCCGATGCGAGAAGGACCTTTTACGGCTGATGATCAACGCGAGCGCGTCATCGCCGGGGGGTATCACCGCAGGCGACATGGTGGAGGAGTGCAAGACGTTCTTCTTCGCCGGGAAGCAGACCACGTCGAACCTCCTGACGTGGGCGACGGTGCTGCTCGCCATGCACCCGGAGTGGCAGGAGCGCGCGCGAGCGGAGGTCCTCAAGGTGTGCGGCTCACGTGACATCCCCACCCGCGACCACCTGGCCGAGCTCAAGACGGTACCGTACCGCGCCTCCCCCCTCCCCCTGACCGTCCCTCACATTCTCCTCTCCGTTCTTCCTATCATCATTCCTTTTTCTCTTTCCCCAAAAATATCGCAGCTCGGTCTCATACTCAACGAGACGTTGCGGTTGTACCCGCCGGCAGTGGCGACCATACGGCGGGCGAAAGCTGACGTGGAGCTCGGCGGCTACCGGATACCACGCGGCACCGACTTGCTCATCCCAATCATCGCCATCCACCACGATGAAAGACTGTGGGGCCCGGACGTCGCCCGGTTCGATCCGGGTCGGTTCGCGGAGGGGGTGAGCCGGGCGGCCCTGCGTCCGACCGCATTCATACCCTTTGGGCTTGGAGCTCGGACGTGCGTCGGCCAGAACCTGGCCCTGCTCGTGGCCAGGCTCACCCTCGCCATCATCCTCCAACGCTCCTCCTTCCGCCTCTCTCCGGCCTACGTTCACGCGCCGACCGTTCTGATGCTCTTGTATCCGCAATACGGTGCACCCATCCTCTTCCGCCCCCTCCCATTACAGCCGTCCCTTCAATCTTGCCACAATATCTCGTGATGGGTCCTACTACGAAAGATATTTACTTCATTGTACTTAGTTTCCTTAATGTGTCAAGCAGGAATTTAGTGGAAAATATATATATATAAAAGGCTTTTCGGCGCCACCCCAACTCATATTCCACTACTAAGGACGTGTACAAGTTACCTATGTTACACTTGACAGCGCACCTTATTATTGACGCGACACATCTCTTTGTGCTATTGTTCGACTTGGATTTGGTGTCTATTTATCCCAACCTGCACTCTCTCTCTCTCTCCAGCCGCTGTCACGTTTATATATAGGATTCTTAAGCGATAGCTTCCACATGATCCAAAAAAGCAAGTTCTATCTGACACACCACCATGCATCTATCTCTGTCATTGACCTTTATGGATGTCAGGGTTTCCAAGTAACGCGCATACGTGAAATGAACAGCATCGGTCAAGAAAAGTTTGAGGACTTCCCAAGAACGCTCTCACTTGGTGAAAAGTCCCTTCGATAGCACCTGAAAATGTTCCCTGCTCTTCAATATCTGGATTTGGGTTAATTGAAAGTAGACATTCTTTGTATTTATTTATCTTATATAATTGAGAACTAGAATTTTATTCATAAATATGGAACCATATTGATTTTGCATCAATTTTTTTGGTTTATTTTCAGGTTGTTAATCTTTGAAATTTCTCTCTTGATTTCAAAGTTTCGTATCCCCAACAAAATAGGTATGCTGTTTTATCCTTTGACCATACACCGATGAAGGGTGACTTTGCTGCTTATGAGAATTGATTCTAAAACATATACCAATCTCACACCGATACATTCTGTTTACTCGTACATATTACTTGGAATCGAAACGAAGTTTGATCTTCCTATAATAGTCCAGTCAAGAAAAATTCTCTAATTTGTTTCTTATAAAGGTATAGGTCAAGATGAAGTCACACACGAAAGCTTAAGAGTATGTGGCTAATTATACATTATCCTATTCTAGTTAGTTATCTTTTACATTTCGATTTTTATACTTTGAAAAGTTACAATTGCATAAGATGAAGTCACACACGAAGTCACACATGAAAGCTTAAGAGTATAGTTACAAAAATGAAACATCTAAATTTATTTACCTAAATTATTAATAAAAAAATAAAATAAAATAATAATTTTACTATTTTGATTAATCATGTGGACGACGATGGTGGTGACAAACGATGATACCACTGGGGAACACAAGTAATTATTATGGATGGAAAAAGTGGTGACGAGAGGTAAGGATCACTCTTCATCTATGTCTGATTCTTTCATCACTTGACAATTACATCGATACCGACGCAAATATAGAACGACACCTCTCGACATCTATATCGGTGACTCTTTTATCGCTCGATAACTATATTGATGTCGACACAAATGCAAAACAACATTCATCTCTCGTCGTTGCTCTCCTTATCTATAATAATCATCCCACGATCTTCAGTGAAGTCGTAGTCGGTCACAAAAAAAAAAAAAAATCTAAATATTCTACTTTTATAATTATAGAGATGCGAACATAGAATCAAAATACGTGTGCACTAAGCGTCCCTTCAGCTCCTCAATTGCAATTTAAAGTTTGACCGGATGGCAGTAACGCTGAGATATATGTTTACAAACAAAAGTGATGGACTGACGAGCTGAGCGAACCGTCACCAACCCTGTAATCCTGTGACAAGGCAAGTACATATCCAATTCGATTTTACTTGTATCAGAATAGAAACTAAAGGTGGCCAATAATTCAGATAAGACGCTTCAAATGAAAGAGAGAAGAGTTTATACTCAATTGCTGCTAAGCTTGCAATACTCAATTGCTACCAAACTATATAAGAACATTTGAATGATAACGAGAAAAGAAAACAAAATGGGGTTCTGTATTCCTCTAAAGTATTTAGAAAGGAAGTAAGTTCCACAAGAACTAAATCCTCGTTAGTTGAAGGGTGTCCAATATGTGGAATTTATTCAGAGGATTCTGTATAGGACGCAAACTAAATGACTAATCTTCTTCTTCTTCTGAAGGATGGAACATATCCTAATCTTTCAAGTCTTCTTTAGTTTACTTGGAAGCCACCAAATCGTCTGCCTAATTTTCTTTGTCCGATTTCCAGGGATCACACATCCGAATAGCAGCAGTCCTCGCCGTTCATATTCTCGATTCTGCCAAAAAAGAATCATCTTCGTTCACCACAGCAACTTCACTAAGTAAAAAGAACGTAAACGTTTGTTCACCAAACCAAGAAAAATGTCTCAAGGTAGGTATAGTCACCCATCTCTGTTCTATCAAGCAGATTGTGATGTGAGGGAGACCCATTACAACAAAAGATACAGTGGGGTGAATTGAATGAAACGTTGATCAATCAAAGTTGACAGGGTAAAGATATCTGCATTCACATCATGACGTCAAGATGAGACTGCAAATCTATACAGTAAGATCAATATCTTCTATGGAAATAAATTTCTATCCTCATCTAAAATGCGGAAAATAAAGAGGGAAAAACAAAGGGTTGCCGAAGCACGTAATCGGAAAACAACAGCACCAAAAGAAGAAAATTTTCTCAGAGGCCAAGATCTATGCCTTACTTCTTTTTGTTGGAAACCCAGAATGGAAGAGCATCGGAAACAGATTAAGTATTGAACAAGAGGGGAAACCCCTCTCGTCGTCAAACCAGAAGATAAAAAGGAGAAAAGTAAAAGGAGAGGAAGGATCGGAGAGGATAGGTACCGTGGGCGGAGAAGAACCAGAGGATGATGGCGCAGAGGACGACGACGACGGGGATAACGTGCACGGCGTTCTCGGAAAGCCTCGCCCGCTGCACCAGCTTCTTACTGATGTCGGAGTGGGGGTCGTACGAGGGAAGGCCATCCGGCTCCAGTAACGATCTCCGAGCCGCCGCCGCCGCCGGTAGGAGGTGCTCGTCCGACATCCTCGTAGCGCTCGATGATCGGAACATCTTGGTAACAGACACAGACTTCTATTGGGGGAAGGAAAAGAAGCCCCCCCCCTATCTTCCTCCCTCCGAGAGATGGCTCCGAGAAGATCAGGAAGGTCTTTGACGCGCGACGATAAGGGATTCGGCGAGAGACGGGTTGGACTAAGTTTTGCGCCTTTCTGCTCGATGAACTTCTTTGACCGCTTAATCGACGCGTGAAACAGTGACCGGCCTGTAAAACATCTGACGTGCGGGGCCCTTTTTCGGTGGGTCCCTTGAATTGTTAAGAGGTACGACTTGATCTAGAAATGCTCATTTGCCAACGTAAGTGTAGAAAGCATTGCCGGTCTCTTTGGAATCAGACTACGACCCAACCTTTGCCCCAACTTTGTGTCTATCCGCACTGTATAACTCTCAGAATATGGTAAGCGTATTCTCTTATAATTAACAATGGTAATAGCCTATGGGTAAAGGTGGTCAAAGGTAAATATGATTTTGTGGACTCGTAGAATATTTACAATTGTGATAATACTAGTTGGTATTAAAAATTATTTTTAAATACTCTTATAAAAGTTATTGGTGATGATTTTATAAAATTTATTGGTGATTGTTGTGGTAAGTAACTTTTTTAGCCGTGACCTCGGGGTCGACGCAGCTGGTTCAGGGTCCGAATGGCGGGGATCAGGCATAGCTCCCATCGGGATCTTGTGGCGGCCGATTGCGGGGGGTCTAGCTGGAAAGTTCCGCGACGTCGGGTAGGGTCAGCTTCGGTCGAGTACCTGCACACAGGTCGGGTCGGCGGCTCGGCCCGACCCCTCCGACGATCAAGTGAGTGATTGGGAGTGGAGTTTTAGGTGAAGTGGTGCTTTCTCTCTCTCTCTCTCTCTCTCTCTCTCTCTCTCCCCCTCTTTGTTGGGAGCCCGGGGGTATTTATAGGTGAGTTTGATGTTACCTGATGTGTCATCCTGTCGGAGCAGGGCCGTACCTCTGATGGCGTCTGTCGTCGTCATGGGCGTTGCGTGGAAGGTCGAGCTGCCGCAGGGTATGGCGAGCTTCAGTCGACGCCTTCCCCTACCTCGGCCGGTCGTGCGGGGTCTGACGATGAGGTCGTCTGGGTACGGAGCGTGTGGGTGCACATTATGTTGGTGTTAATGCTCGCTCCCTGGGGTAGTGTGCCATCCAGGGGTGGCTGACGTCGTGGTGTATTACGTCAAATCTGGTGTGTTACGTCGAATCTGTTTTTACCCCTATCATATTCCCCCCCCGAAAGGAGCTATGCGTCGGTTTTTGCATGCAGGGGGTCCGATGCATGGCTTCTTACTTCAGGTGGGCTGGTCACGCGGATCAGAGGGGCATGACACAAGCGGGCAGGTCGTGCGAGCGTGTCTTGAGCGACACGGGGCCGAGGTGCGCAACTTAGTCAGGAAGCCGAGCATAGATCGGGATCTCGGACAGCGCGCGACCGAGGAGCACGGCGCAAGCGGGCAGACCGCGCAGGTGTGGTCTCGGGCAATGTGTAACCGAGGAGCACGACGCAGGCGGGATGACAACGCAGGCGTGTCTCGGGGAGCGTGGAGCCGAGGGGCACGACGCGGGCGGGCTAACCCGAGCAGGTGTGGTCTCGGGTGGCATGC